TGGAGGCTCCCGACCCGCTTTGGAGGCTCCCAAGCCGCGTTTTGCTCCCGAGGCCCCTTTGCGCCGCCCGGTTTCTCTTCCCCTTTCAGCTCCGCCGAGGAGGAGGAGGGGGAGGAGGAAGAGGCCGACACGGGGAGGCCCTTCGGGGTCCGGCCTCGCTCCGGGGAGACCCGAATTGGGCCGAACGCGTCGGCTTCCCCTTTCCGAGGGAGCGAAATCCCTCGGGATCCTCGGGGACACGGACACAAAGCCCCGATTGTGTCTCCCTTTTCCCTGCTTTCGCCGGGGGGGGCTGAGGCCCCCTCCCGCCGGCCGCGCCGGTCCGTCCGGTTCCCGGCTCCTTCCTAATCTTCGGCCTCCCTTGTCCGGCCCTGCCTCTTCCTCCCGGTTATCGCCCCGGTGCAGCCGCTCCGAACGAGGCGGATCCCTTTTTCCTGCCGCCTCCGCGTCTTTTTGGGGCCGTTTAGTGTCTTTCTGGGGCCGCGCTCCGGCAGCGATCCCAAGGGGAAGCTCTGCCCCCCCTCCCAAGGTTTATCCCTCTTTTGCATTGATCCCAAGGGAATTTAGGGAGAGCTGCCTGTGAGTTTGCAGCCTGGAGAAGGAATTCCGCATCCCTGGGGACAACCAGAGGTTTCCCAAACCATTCCCAGCGTCAATCCCGCATTTCTTGAGTGATTTCCCCCCTTCCCAAAGGAAGAGCAGTCGGATGCGACGCTCCGAAGCTTCCAACGATTGAAGGGTGTCGCGGACCCCGCCGAGCGTTTTTTTTTCCCCAGCCATTAAATCCTAAATTAAGCCGCAATTAGTCATAATTAGGAGGCGGCTCCAAATTCGCACCCTGTTTCCCGCTCTCTGGAATTCCGACGCGTCGTTAGGACGGAGCCCGGCTAATTTTCCCCAGCGTTTTCCAGCGAGGAATAACTCGGGTCACGAATCAGGCGGGAGCTCGAGCGCCATCCGGATGGAGGGGACGGGATCGAGCTCCTTGGATCTGCTTGGAGCCGGCGGCCTGGAATATTCGGAAAAGGGATGAGCAGCAGCGGGATGGAGCTTCCGGCCGCCGCCTCGGGTGCCAAAGGAAGAGGAGGCGACGTTGGATATGGGATATATATGGATATGGGAGCTGGATGCGGCTTCCTTTGCTCGCCCGCGTGCTCCGGCGGGATCGGCCGCGGGATTCGGGATGCTCCGGGCTGTGCGTCGCCCCTTGGGCTCTATTTCCCTTCTCTCCATCTCCGTTTGCTCCCGTTTTGCTCCCGTTTTCCTTCTGGTTCCATTGGGTTTATTCCATCTGATCCCCTGTCTCTCTTCCCATCATTTCCGGCCAGTAGCTCCAATCTGCTCCCGTTTTTCCAGTGCTGTTGCCCACCCATCCCAAGCGGATTTATTTTGGATCCCAATGCTGCTTTTCCCAGCATTTCCCATCCTCATGGCTCCGATCTCGCGGCACGTCCCATCCTTGCAGGGAAATCCGTCATTCCTTCCTTCCCAAGGTTTCTTAAGGAGAAAAAGGAAGAAAAGAGGGAAAAAAGGCAGCAGCTCGTTCTGCTATTAATGTGTTTTTAAGGGCTCCAGGGATTCCGAGTGCGGAGCAGGGCCCTGGCAGCCTTCGGAAAGGCTCTAGTCCTGCAGTCATCCCTATTAGCCGAGATAATATCCATAAATTCTCCAGCTGGTTTCTCCCTGCCAAGTTTTTCTTCCCGGAATCGCAATATTCTGGAGGCTTCGGCGCCGTCGGATCCGCTGGCGCTCTGAGATCTGTAATTTATTGGGATCTTAATTAGATGGGAGCCGTAGGTTAACGAGGAGGGAGACGTGGGACGTGCCGACGGGCTCCAAAACATCCGCGCGTTTGGAAGCTGAAGCTATTCCAGGAAATCGGGGCTGGATTCTCCCCCTTTCCAAGCACGCGGCCGCGTCTCCTCCTTTCTTTTCCTGACAGCCTTCCCGGGATGGCAGCGACAAGGGAATGTTGAATCCAGAGCCGTCCTTGTTTCCAACTACAGAAGCTTCCAAGAGCTTGCGGAAGGGAAAGGGGCGGAAGGAAAGGGTTTTATCCCCAAATTCCTAAACGTAGGAAGTGCGGGAATGTTGCTGGTGAGGTAGAGCAGGGCCTGGCCGAGCTTCCCGAAAGCGGCGCCGTCGGAGAGACGGATTCGGGCTCCTCCTGCTCGGGATTCCCGTCCTGCTCCGGCTCCTCGTGTGCTTGGAGGGAAGCGCTGTTTTTCCCGGGCTTTGCCAAGCTGATCCTGCCCTTATTCTGATGCCAAGTTTTTCCTGGGAATAGCAGGGAAGAGGGATCAGACCCTGGGCGCATGGAGCGTCGGACCCTACATTTCCAGGTGAATCCTGGAATTCCTAAATTTCCTTGGTGAATCCTCGTGTCCGTGCCACGATCCTCGGGATGCAGCTCGGAGCTCTGTCCCTTGCTGGGCACCAGATGGACATGGAAAAAGCCGCTCCGGACCTTTCGGATCCTGGCTTGGCATTTCCAGTGCCGCTTCCGTAGGGAACCACTGACACCTGCTGGCAAGGGCAGAGGAGCCGGCGGGAATGACGGAGGCACCGGGAATTCGGCGTCATTCCTGCGGACGGTGTGAAACTCCCTCCGGGATGCGGGATGAAATCCCAGGATGTGCCCGGGGAGCGCTGCAGGTTGGCACGAGCTCCGGGGATGCTCAGCCCCAAAAAGCAGCATTTTAAGGAAAATTCCACTCCCTTGTGTCCATCCTCATCGGAGCCGCCTGCCGCTCCAGAGGGAAGTAACCCCCCGTGGGATCGGAGATGGAATTAGACACCGGAATCCATGGAGAGACATAGAAGGGAAATGGAAACGGAGCGGCTTAAAAACTTCCTCCTCTTCCGTCCCCCTCATCCCGCATTCCGCATGTTTTATGGATGCGGATGTGGCAGCTCCACCCTCTAATTCCTCCCGTTTTTATATTATTGGGAATCGCTCCTTGAGGGAGCGGCAGCCGCTTTCCGTGTGCGGCGCTGGATGAGTTTCCATCAACTTAATCCCACTTTTTCCCATGCGAGACATGGTTTGCAAAGGGAAAGCTGGCCCTGAAAATTAGGGATAAGGAAGGGTTGCAAAGTGGAAAAATGGAGGTTAAAATCCCAAACGTTCCAGGTATCGACGCGGGAGGGCCGGGAAATGCTTGTGTCCTGCGCATCCCTCCCGCCAGCCTCGGATGGGAGGGAAAACAGCCTGGGATGGCTGGGAAGCGGCCGTGGGAATTGTGTCCGGGCCGAATCCGGGGTGTTTTGGCACTCGCTTTATCAGCTCCGTTGATATTTTCGCTCGGAGTCGGCGCAAGGTTGAGCTGGAATAGCTGGAATAGTTGGCAGGTGGCGGCGGGGAGGCCGGCGGGAGGGGTTTCCCAAGGCTCCATGGATCCGCGCGTGGGGGCTGGGAGGGCAGGCGAATTCCCGGGAATGAGGAGAACGGCTGGAAGGAGCGAATTCCTCCGGCTCCGTCAAAGACCTTTTCCGGGACCTTTCCGGTTGCTCCGCGGTTGCCCGGAAAACACAGGGGAAAGATCCGTAGGAATTGAATCCTGCGGCTCGTCCCGCCGGGGCTCTTTCCCAGCTCCGATCCTGCGGAGATCCGGGCGGGAGCCCCGTTCCCAGCCCCGGGACCGCGGCCGGAGCCGCGTGACCGGCGCCGTTCCCTGCAGGAGAGCACGGCGCCCAGCTGGGCCTGCACGGAGCCGGCGGGGACGGGCTCGGAGACGACGCGGCGGCCGGGGAAGAGGGGGAGACCAGCCCGGATCCGCAGCCGCAGCAGAGCCGGAAGGTGCGGCGGGGAGCGGGCACCTGCCCCTACTGCAAGGACAGCGAGGGAAGGGAGGGAGCGAGCGGCGGGAGCCGCGCGGATGTGTCCGGAGACGCGTCCAGGGCCATCCGGGTGCCAGAGGGATGAGCCCAGAGGCAATTCCAGGGCCATCCAAGTGCCAGAGGGATGTGTCTGGAGGCAATTCCAGGGCCATCCGGGCACCGTGGGGATGTGTCCGGAGGCAATTCCAGGGCCATCCGAGTGTCGAAGGGATGTGTCTGGAGATGCTTCCAGGGCCATCCGGGCGCCACGGGGGGGTGAACCCAGAGGCAATTCCATGGCCATCCAGGTGATGCAGGGATGAGCCCAGAGGCAATTCCAGGGCTGTCTGGGCACCGCAGGGATGAGCCCGGAGGCAATTCCAGGGCCATCCGAGTGCCAGAGGGATGTACCTGGAGGCAATTCCAGGGCTATCCGGGCACTGCAGGGATGTGTCCGGAGGCAATTCCAGGGCCATCCGAGTGTCGAAGGGATGTGTCTGGAGATGCTTCCAGGGCCATCCGGGCGCCACGGGGATGTGCCTGGAGGCAATTCCAGGGCTATCCAGGCACCATGGGGATGTGTCTGGAGGCAATTCCAGGGCCATCCGAGTGTCGAAGGGATGTGTCTGGAGATGCTTCCAGGGCCATCCGGGCGCCACGGGGGTGAACCCAGAGGCAATTCCATGGCCATCCAGGTGATGCAGGGATGAGCCCAGAGGCAATTCCAGGGCTGTCTGGGCACCGCAGGGATGAGCCCGGAGGCAATTCCAGGGCCATCCGAGTGCCAGAGGGATGTGCCTGGAGGCAATTCCAGGGCTATCCGGGCACTGCAGGGATGTGTCCGGAGGCAATTCCAGGGCCATCCAAGTGTTGAAGGGATGTGTCTGGAGATGCTTCCAGGTCCATCCGGGCACCGGAGGGATGAGCCTGGAGATGCTTCCAGGGCCATCTGGGCACTGCACTGCACTGCAGGGATGCAGGGATGGTCCAGAGGCAATTCCATGGCCATCCGGGCTGGAGGGATGGGCCTGGAGGCAATTCCAGGGCCATCTGGGCACCGCAGGGATGTCCCCGGAGGCTCTTCCAGGGCCATCCGGCTGCCGCGCGGATATGTCCGGAGGCAATTCCAGGGCTGTCTGCGTGCCGCAGGGATGTCCCCGGAGATGCTTCCAGGGCCATCCGGGCGCCGCGGGGACGTCCCCGGGGCCGCTCCCTGAGCGCTCCTCTCCCCGCGCTCTCCCAGGAGCTCCAGCGATCCCGCACAGAGCGGGATGTGGAGCGGGAATGCACGTGGAGCGGGAGCGCCGAGCGGGAGGGCGCACGGAGCAGGATGCGGAGCGGGAATGCACATGGAGCGGGAACGCCGAGCGGGAGGGCGCGCGGAGTGGGATGCGGAGCGGGAATGCACACGGAGCAGCATGTGGAGCGGGATTGCACATGGAGCAGCATGTGGAGCGGGAGCGCGGAGCGGGATGTGGAGCGGGAATGCACACGGAGCAGCATATGGAGCGGGAATGCACACGGAGCAGCATATGGAGCGGGAATGCACACGGAGCAGCATATGGAGCGGGAATGCACACGGAGCAGCATGTGGAGCGGGATTGCACATGGAGCAGCATGTGGAGCGGGAATGCACACGGAGCGGCATGTGGAGCGGGAGGGCGCACAGAGCGGGATGTGGAGTGGGATTGCACATGGAGCGGGAACGCGGGGCTGCAGGGCGCACGGAGCGGGATGTGGAGTGGGAACACACACTGAGCAGGATGTGGAGCGGGAGGGCACGCGGAGCGGGAGCGCCGAGGCGCACGGAGCGGGATGTGGAGTGGGAACACACACTGAGCAGGATGTGGAGCGGGATTGCACATGGAGCAGGATGTGCAGCGGGAACACACACACAGCGGGATATGGAGTGGGAACGTGCACAGAGCGGGATGTGGAGCAGGAACGCACACTGAGCAGGATGTGGAGCAGGATTGCTCATGGAGCAGGATGTGCAGCGGGAACGCACACACAGCGGGATGTGGAGCAGGATTGCACATGGAGCAGGATGTGCAGCGGGAACACACACACAGCGGGATATGGAGTGGGACCGTGCACAGAGCGGGATGTGGAGCAGGAACGCACACTGAGCAGGATGTGGAGCAGGATTGCACATGGAGCAGGAGCACTGAACGGGAACGCACACAGAGCGGGATGCGGAGCGGGAACGCACATGGAACAGGAGCGCTGAGGGGGAATGCTGAGTGGGAATGTGCGTGGAGCGGGATTTGGAGCGGGAACACACATGGAGCGGGATTGCATGCGGAGCGGGAGTGCTGAGCAGGAAGGCACACGGAGCGGGATGTGGAGCAGGAACGCGCACAGAGTGGGATGTGGAGCGGGATTGCACATGGAGCGGGAGCGCCAAGTGGGAACACCGAGTGGGAACGCACACAGAGCAGCGTGTGGAGTGGGAACGCACACAGAGCGGGATGTGGAGTGGGAATGCGCACGGAGCGGAATGTGGAGCAGGACTGCACACGGTGGGATGCGCACAGGGCAGCACGTGGAGCGGGATGCAGAGCGGGAATGCGCATGGAGCAACACGCTGAGTGGGAATGGGCGTAGAGCGGCACATGGAGCGGGAACGCGTGCGGAGCGGGATACGGAGCGGGAATCCGCACGGATGGGGCCCTCCTGCATGGGGCCGCCCGGTGTCCCGGCACCGGGCAGGGCTATGGGATGGCCGGGAATCCTTCCCGCTTTTCCGCGGAGGTGGCAAAGCCGCCGTCCCCATGCGTCAACCCGAGGGGATCCCAAGTGCCGGAGCGCAGCGCGTGGGCCAGGCGGGATCAGGAGCACCGCGCTATTCCCGGGATAAAGCCCTTTCCCTCCGGGAAGCGCCTCCCGACGCGTGCGTGTCCGTCCCCTCCCAGGAGAGAAGAAGTTCGCGTGTCCCGAGTGTCCCAAGCGCTTCATGCGGAGCGACCACCTCTCCAAGCACATCAAGACGCACCAGAACA